CGATAGTTATAGCATATAAGCCGGTATATCAAGCTTTTTGAACCTAAAGAATCTATGGGGTTGAGGGGGGCAATATCTTCATTTAACCATGAAGTGGGGCTTTGCGACAATGCGTAGTTCTCCTTATAAAGTGGAGCCATTTAAAAAAAAAATTGTAAGCTAGGGGATATTTTTGTTTAAATGCGTTCACGGCCTAGCATTAATTTATTGCAGTGAAGCTACCTTTACAAGCAGGTACAAACGGAATAATACATGTTTTATTAGGTGCTTTCTTGGCTTAGCTTTCCTCTACTGCAGTGAAACCACGTCTACAAGAAGTTGCATGAGGACTAATATACTTCTCTTCGTTCAATGACAATACTTGAAAATTTGCAAACTTTTTTCAATGGAAACGAATTCGAATGCTGTAATATTCATTCAGATATTCCAACTATTCGAACATTCACGCAATCCTATTTATCTGTATTGCTCCTGTTGTTCAACAATGTACCAGGGCCCACGTGCAATACTGTGCCGCCACCTAATGGAAATATTTCAGTGCTATATTAACAGACGCTATAATAGTGAGATGTAATACTCGCTCGCTATGTTCGAAGAAAGCTTATACCAACACAGATTGGCCATACTCAGTCATTGAAGCTGTAAGTGAGCGTCCTTGAACACAAAGCTGCGGACATTGTATCTTGTCAAAAACTTTTTGTACTTCCTGACATGATACGGTGTATCACTGCATCATGTCAGAAAGTCTTGAACAACGTTTTACTTGTGCCCCGATGAGCATTGTACTTGAGTAGAGTACTTCTTGTGCGTTTCTTCTGCTGTCTTTCATTCGTTTGTTGATTGATTGATTTGTGTGGTTTAACGTCCCCACCATATGATTTTCATTCGTTTGTCTTCGTTCTGTTGTCTTTCTTCATATAGGAAGGAGGTGCCCTGTCAGTATTTCTGAAACTTTGGAACCTCCTCCTATAACATTAGAATCATGGAATGGTAATAAATATGTTAATCAACTTGACATCAATCAAAAATGTAAACGCCTCGTCATCTGACTCCCATACAGAGCAAAAAAAAAAAAATTCGACGTTTTTTTTTTTTTCAATAGTAACAGTTCCTTACTTTTGTATGTATCTGCTGCTCTTGTTAGTTCAACGGCATACAGAAAGGTGATCTTCAAGTTGTGCTATTGCTCCACACTTTTCCCCTGACCACCAAGATGATCTTACATGGATCTTAAGGCAGTGTCTTGCAGAGCCAACTACTCTTCGCAGTGACCTGATGGGAAACGATTCGTGGCTTTTGAAACGCATACTACGACAGCAGCCATGTTTCAGCTAGCCATCTGCCGCAAGGTACAGTGTATTTCATGAAGCCTACAATAAATCAATAACAAATAAGTTCTTGAAATCTATTTATTACATGAGTAGGCAGTGGTAGGGCATGCACGTCTGCATTTTTAGCGAATTATTGCTACATAATGAAACCTACAGAAATAAACATCTAGTACTACTTTGAAAGTTCTTGAAAATTCACATAATCTATGTGACATTCATTCTTTTTGTCTGACTGGTAACAATGCTTACAACGGTGCGTCGTGGCTTCAGACATGAACTGCCATATCTCTTCGTTTTCACGAAGGTATTGCATGGAGCTTCGACCTACGCACACTCCGATCTCAAGAAGCGATAATTTTTTTTGAAACGAGGCAAGATGAATGGTCTGCACACTTGTCATCGGAAAACAAACGAACAAGTTCTGTGATTCGATAACATGCAAATTGAAGTCTAACGGGATGATTAGCACTGTGTGCGCCTTTTATGCCATAGTGGGCTAGAACACAAGACGGGGTGAGAAAGTTCCAAAGGCAGGAAATGCTTCTGGGCCGGTCACTGTGCCTTTTGAAGCACTGATAGTGATGACATTGGGAAAGAATTGGTCTGTAAAAACAGCGCCAACCCTTCACCTAGATAATTTTACGGACCTGAAGTCCTACGGAGTACAATCGGGATATCCTCTTTAAGAAATGCTGTCTTGGCGTGTACACTGGCCTAAATGGTTTTCAAACACAGATGTCTCATTGTGAACGCACCTACCCTAACTGGTGATTCACTGAGCTACTACCGACCTGAAACACGATGTACTTGCAGTCCAAGTGAGGCGGGTAGCCTCCCGGGTAGTTCGGGCTGCGCACATCGAAGAGCCTGTTTGTGAGAATCTTGTCGCACTTGTGCTGGTCCGGTTGTTGGCCTCCGACGCCCAGTGTTGATGTGGTGAAGCCGCTTTGCAGGGGCCTGAAGGGCGGCGGCCGCGGCGACTGCGCATCGTCCTCGTTGACACACTCAACTTGGCGCAGCCGAATTTGGAAGCCCGGACGGGAGTTTGCCGCGTCCGAGTGAAAATGCAGCTGCTTTTCGTTCTCTTCGAAGTCGTACATACCTGCGTCCCATTATAGTGTCGCGCTACGGTCACTGGCGTACAAAAGCACTGCAGTTTTCCACATGCAAACAACCGAAACAGCTAGGTCTTACCACCAAAGTCTCATTTCGAAAATAACAAAGATGACCAAAGAAGCGTCACCCACGATGGGGCTTCTTTGGTCGCAATGGTTACCATAACGTAAAAGTAGCGCGCAGAACTTTGTTTAAAAAGCTACTCGCACAAGTGTGTATTTATATTATATATACTCTTGTATTTGCCGCACCCATTATGTAACAGAAGCTTATCAATGTTACATGTTGTGCGGTGCAAGACTACCAATTTCTTTTTTTGAAGAACACTCAACCGGCTCGCCGGAAAGTCGAGAACGATGAAAAATGTGTACGATGATGGTGCTTTCAAGAAGTGATGCTTTGACAGAGAACTGCGAAGAGGTGCGCGTTTATAAGGTTAAGAGAGCGTGTTTCCAGAGACAGAAGAACTTTTATGCAGCACTTAACATAGACGCAGAGTGACGGCCACGCTATTTCCACTGAAATGCTGCATGCGAAAACACTCGGTAAAGCACGAGGCAAAGGCTCCTAGCACAAGCGAGCGCTGCAGTTCAAGAAAGGCGAGTACCACCGGAAATACGGGTATTCAGAAAAATGGTGTTCTGGCTCATTCACCGTGTATGACCACACTCGTAATTTTCATACCAAGTCACAGAAAGGAAACCTGCGACCATTACGTGAGTATGTGACTTCATTTAAATTTTACCCTCCTCGTTATCTGACCGTCACGCCGAGCAAAAAAAAAAAATCCAAGTTTTTTTTTTTGCAGTAGTAACACTCTCTGGCTTTTGTATGTCTCTGCTGCTTTTGTTAGTTGAACGGCATACAGATACGTGATCTCCAAGTTATACTACTGATCCTCATTTTTACACTGACCACAGAGATAATCCTAAACGGGTCTTAAACGGACTCACAACTGGCCAGAACACGTGATTAGAATCTGGTGGAAAGGAAAGAGTGTGAATTATGGTGACAGGCGACAGCATATTTTTCGTGACCTGAGGAAGATTTATATTTTTAAATCACGTTTAAAAGTAACTAAAACCGGCATGCCGCGCAGCTATGAACTACAAATATGAAGTCCTAATAAATTAGCTGTGATGACCTAAAGCACACCAGAATAAGGACTTAAATTTTGAATATGTACGTTACTGTTCATTTTCGTTTGTTTCTGTGCACCTTATCAGCCAAAAAAAAGCAGAGCACGAAAATCGGCGCTGCTTTCGTGACCTCTGCAGGGAAACAAGTGCAGTTGCGCATGCGCGCGGCTGCGCAGCGTTTCCAGAGTAGCTCGATTCCTATCGCGTTGGAAAACACACGCGAGCTTGTGAATGCGATTGCTGCGGCACGCGAAATACCATAGACCTTCTGCTCTATAGAAAATTGCTATCACTCATGTATGCTGCTGGTGGTGGCGATAGTGGTAGCTAGTCCATCGGATTCGTTGCTACCGCTGTCATCCATCAAAGCATTTCGCTCTGGCGCTAATTAATAGGGGTCCGAATTTCACGCACGCATGCGGGCCAAAATTTGTTCCTTTGACCCGCTCAAGTTGTCAAGCGATGACATATCCAAGCCGTCCAACTACGGCAGCACGTGAAATACCCTGTGTGAATTGTCAATCATGGGTAAACGCGTCATTTCGTTTTCGAAGACTTGGCTTAGCTCGGCTTGGCTTAAGTCGGAAAAACTACGTGTGCACGGCTAAAAGTACTAGCATATGAAGCCCCAGCAAAGTGCTGTAACTGTTGTAAAATAATTTAGCACAATAGAAAGCACTGGTCGTGGAACTGCAGACTTGACCAACACAACATTACGTGTCTTCACTTAGAGTTTCACTTTTAATCTCTGCTGGTGTTACACTGGCATTTAATCGCTATCGCGATCACATCCACTGTTTGCAGCATGTATCCTTAAAGACTGCATAATCGCCACAAATGGAAAAATTCTGATTATAAATGTTCTACGGCGTTTTCCGCGTTACCATTCCGTGATTACAAGCTCAGACCGGTAAGCTTTACGTTGCACTCAAGAAAACGGGTAACACAAATATTCGTTTTGGGTCCCTTTAAGGCAATGTAGTTACAGTGTAACTTTTAAATTTTTATGAAGGTTGTTTCGTTTATACAATACACATTTTCATAAAAATGCTGTATTGGTATGGCACCTAAATTCTACTGCTGCTAAAATACGCTGAAAGGGTTAGCTACAATCTGTTAATTTATTGTTTTCATAATGAAGCTGAAAGACAAGAGTTTATATAAGAAATCAGCATCATCATCATCATCCTGACTACGATCACTGCCGGACAAAGACCTCTCCCATGTTCCGCCAGTCAACTCGGTCGTGCGCTTGTAATCTCATCTGCCCACCCAACTTTCAGTCTCCCCCTAAACCGCTTGCCTTCTCTGGGAATCCAGTTAATTTTAATGACCAATGGTTATCCTATGTATGCGCTACATACCCGGCCCATGTCCATTTACTCTTCTTGCTTTCAACTATGATATCCTTAACCCCGGTTTGTTCTCTGATTCACCCTGCTCTCTTCTTGTCTCTTAAGGTTACACCTACCATTTTTCTTCTATTGCAGGCTGTCGTCCTCAATTTGTAACCTCTTTGTAAGTCTCCAGGTCTCTGTTCTGTAGCTAAGTACCGGCAAGATGCAGCTGTTATATACCTTCCTCTTGAGGGAGAGTGGCAATCTACCTGTCAAGATTTGAGAGGGCTTGCCTAATGTGCTCCACCCCATTCTTATTCTTCTAGTTACTTCAATCTCGTGGTTAGGCTCTGCGGTTATTACCTGCCCTAAGTAGACATAGTCTTTTACAACTTCAAGTGCACTATTACCTATCTCGAAGCGCTGCTTCTTTCCGAGGTTGTTGTACATTACTTTCGTTTTCTGCAGATTAATTTTAAGACCCACCTTTCTGCTCTCCTTGTCTAACTCTGTAATCATGAGTTGCAATCCGTCCCCTGAGTTACTCAGCAATGCAATGTCATCGGCGAAGCGCAGGTTACTGAGGTATTCTTCATTAACCCTTATCCCTAACTGTTCTCATTCTAGGCTTCTGAAAACTTCCTGTAAGCACGCGGTAAATAGCATTGGGGAGATTGTGTCCCCCTGCCTTACACCCTTCTTGATTGGTATTCTGTTGCTTTCTTTATGAAGCACTATGGTAGCAGTTGATCCTCTGTAGATTTCTTCCAGAATGTTTATATATACTTCATCTACGCCCTGATTCCGCAGTGTCTGCATGACGGCTGATGTTTCTACTGAATCAAACACCTTCTCGTAATCTATGAAGGCTGTGTATAGTGGTTGGCTGTACTCTGAGCATTTCTCGATTACCTGATTTATAGTATGAATGTGGTCGATTCTTCAGTAGCCTGCTCGAAATCCTGGCTGTTTCTTTGGTTGATCCAATTCAAATGTTGTCTTCTGTTAGCAATTACCTTTGCAAATAGCTTGTACATGACGGACTGCAAGCTGATCGACCTGTAATTCTTCAAGTCCTTGTCCTCTCCTTCTTTATGCATTAAGGTTTACGATGTAACAATTATGACATATATTTTAGAAAGACAAGTTATATGACAAATTTTAATAAAATTTTGAGGCCCTGATCCAGACGATAAAGAAGCTAAGCATACCGGGTGTGACTGGAAGTACGGGTGCTGTGTTACGTCAAAGGGGAATTTCCGTCGATAAAGGCGGGACGAACTGCGGAGTCCACCCGACACTGTATGCATCCCCATAGCTGGCGCGAAGGAAGGGAAATGGTGTACCTATGCACTAGACACAATAATAATGAGATGTAACAGACAATCATGCCAAGGAAAGTATAGGGTGTGTTATTAAGAGTAGTGGTCATGTAAGTGTGATCAAGTTGAAAAGGAAGCGCCCGTCAGTGCCACCAGTAGCCATGATGGCGAGTGAAGAGCACTATTTATCTGCTTGTTTGGCGTCACATAGCACGAAGGTGAACTTGTATGAGCTGGCAGCTCACCAATAATCTCTTGTATACTACCTGAAGGCATCAAGTCTGTCTGAACGAGACACTCGCTATGAATGAACGAAAGACGTGTAAATCTAGGGGCTCGTTTTTCTGTGCTAGAAACAATATTAATGAGATCTAACGTAGAATCATACGAAGGATAGTACAGACGTGTTATGTAGGAGATGCTATTAAAAGGGTGTAATATAAGGTTGTTATTAACACCCTCTATACTTTCCTTTGCATGATCGTCTGTTAGATATCGTCAATATTTTGCATAACAAAGAAAAACAAGCCCTCAAATGTAACCTCTCGGACCTATGCATTGACTCTCGAGATCTTAAACTGTGTTCCAGTGCGCCCATGTTCTTGTTTTTAGCTGTCATGTTTGTCTGCAGCACTTTTCAACATTAAGTAAGAATGCCACGCCTGCTTTTTTTCTCCAGTTTTCAGCCGCATTGCTCCGGAAGATAAGTGAAGAGCAGCCGCGACGGCCCAGTGGTTACGCTTCGTGGTGCTGATAACCAGAAAGGCGTATATTCCATACCAGCCTTGGCGGTGGCATTTCAAGAAGGCAGAATGCGAGGGTCATGTAATTAGAAATTTCAAAGAATTTAAAAAGCCCGCAGATCATAAACGTTATTCGAAACCCTTTACTACAGTGTTTCTTATAACCTCAGCCACTGTACTAACACTGAAACCACCTAAAAACACTAAAAGCAAATTATGTCTATAAATGCATACACTATGTTGCATGAACAGACAGACAGACAGACAGACAGACAGACAGACGGACGGACAGACAGACAGACAGACAGACAGACAGACAGACAGACAGACAGACAGACAGACAGACAGACAGACAGACAGACAGACAGACAGACAGACAGACAGATAGATAGATAGATAGATAGATAGATAGATAGATAGATAGATAGATAGATAGATAGATAGATAGATAGATAGATAGATAGATAGATAGATAGATAGATAGATAGATAGAATGAAACAGCGAGGGAGGAATTGCATGCACCGTACCCGTTGTGTTGCGGGAAAAAATCCCGCACAGGCGCTGTCCGTCGATGTCCAAATAGTCGTACTCGCAGTCGGTGCTGGATTCCACGTCGAAGCGCTCGAAGTTCATCTCGAGGCGGCACACTGACGAGCTCATCTTACGAACCGTGTATCTGCGCGCATACCACCAGGCATTATATCACTGGGTGAGGTACACAGAAAAATCTCCAAGAACGACGTGCAGCCTCCAACAACACCGGGCTGATAGTGCAACAAATATTACAGCGATTTTTTGAGCGATATAAAGTTCTTGTCTTTTCTTGTCTTGGCACATATCTGGGAGTCCCTCGTGTCATTGCGATAGTGTTGGGAGCATAGAAAAAATTTATGAAACCATCTTAAGTAGTATAAATCTAGGTACTGTGAATCAGCGATAAAATTTCAATTAGGGACAAAATATGAAGAGAAGGCAGGCAAACTTCTAGAGTGTGAAGGACTACACAAAACCTTATTCGATAATGTCAGTTTGCAGTCTATCTGTTGCCGCCACGTTTGAAGGGAATGTTACTAATAAGCGCCATTATCAGCATCAGCCCACCTTGAACGGGGTATAAAAATGACAAAACTGGCAGAAAATAAATGCATAAAATATATCAACATACTTTTTTCACCATAATAAGAGGCTGAGCTTTTAAAGCAAAAAAAAATCATTGAGCCCTTGTAGGTGGACAATCCAGCGAAAAAGTGGCCATCTACGGTCAGGGCGTTGAAGTCTTCGAGTGTGCTTTCTTAAAACAGTCTGCCTGCCATATGCAACGAAAAGAACGTAAAATTGACGGATTTAAAACACACCAACAACCTGCCCCTCCCCCCAAACACACACGCTTTGGGAAACGGCACTGATAGTTGCAGCAGGAAGATAAAGCATAGAACTCTAGGTGCTTGTTTGTTACAACCATATGCAATGGCGCTACAATAAATAAGGAGTAGCTTTAGTAAGGGTAAATACTTGCGTGAACTTGAGCTTCACCTTGAAGTAAGACAACCTTTATCGAAAACCATGCCTCTCAGGAGAGCACCTCCAACATTCCGTCCAGGTCACCTAAACTCCCTATATTCCTGACCCCAGTGCAGGGTAGCCAATCGGATTCTAGCATCTGGTTAACCTATCTGACTTCCTTTTTTCTCGTTTTCTCTCTCTCTCTCTTTCAGTTCTTGAGAGAACACTACTCCGTGAACTTTGCCGGAAATTAACACATCTGGAGGATAACAAGGCTTCCCACCGTGATGGATTTGAGTGAAAATGAAGAAAACACAAAAGTGTCACACCCCTTTCCTGAATTCCACGCATTGTAGAGGGAACAATCTCACCCAACTAAACGTTTCATTGACACCGTTTTTTTTTTCATGGTGATATTTGCGTATGCGACGCTGTGTATCGTCCCGTTGCACACAAGATGACAGTTGACGGAAATAATGGGAGCGGGCGGCTTCAACCAAGTCAATGATGATGAGCAAAATGATGGGCAAAATGATGATCTCCGTATATAGCCCTTTGAAATTGCCTGAAACACTTTCGGTTACTATTTCGTATTTATGCTCCCACTACTCCACACATTGTGAATTTTCCTAAGAAATCTCTCTGTGAATCACATGTTGAATAATCCGATGACGAAACTACCAAATAAAAAGTAGCAAAAGGTGTCAACACACAAGTTTTGTCTGCTTAAAGACGTGTTTTGGCGCGTAAAGCCACTCTTCTTGACGTCTTCAGTTTTAGAAATGTCACTATATGTTGTTCTAAAAGTAACTTTTGTTATTATGATGCTCGTGTCGTGAAGAGAAATGCCCAGCGCTGCAGCCCTGCCGTCAACCCTGTGCCAGCAAAGTGGCCCAGCCTGAGTTCGCTGCAACGCTTCCTGAGCGCGTCCAGTCCTTGGTGTTATTGTTCCGACGCCAACACCGCTTTAACCCAATTTTTTCATCCCAGACATACTCACAAAACACAAACTAACAACAGTTAGCTTTTCTGGTGAACTCATCACCTATTTGTATCATTTTGAAGGTCATAAATGCTCCGTAAAAGCCAAATTAACTGTTTGTTCTTCATATGTTTCATTGTGTCACTCTTTGAGTGCGCGAGTCTACACCATGATAAACTTTCAACAAGACCAAGTGGAATCTTTTTTACCTTAACGACATTGAAATGAACCATCCGTAGTTTAGTTCTGACTGACATGAGGTGATTTGATATAATTTGCTGCTCATGAGGCGAGGTAGCATCGATAATCACGAACAAATGCAGCGGAGACTTTCGGTGAGCCGACATTTTATATGAAGTTGTACATCTTAAAAAAATGCACTTTGTCAGCAAAACATCGGGGCGTAATTAAAAAATAATTGCCATGCAAAGAAAATGACTAATGTGCGTGAGGCTTCCCACAGCTCAGTCGGTAGCTAACTAGAAAGCCGCAGCTCTTGCATTTAACCCTAATCAGGACAAAACAATCCATGGAATACAGATCTAGATTCCTCATCAAACACGAAAATTGACCATCGGCGCTGGTGTGATGCAAAAAACCACCATTCCATGGTGACATCATTTTATGACGTGATCCCGTCGACACAGATCATTATTGCTACGTCATCGTGACGTTACGATATGCCGTCATCACGGGACATCGTCAAATCACGGAGGCGGTGCAAAGACAGGAGAGAGAAATGTATACCTAAAAGCTGCCGTGCCTTCACTGCTAAAAGCTGTTAAAAAGTCGGCTACGTGCAGAAAGTTTTTGGGGAGAGGGCCAGTGTATCGTATGACAAGAAAAAAAGATGACCTTCGTGGACCAGTAATGAATGCACAAAGCATCCTGAAATTTTTTTTTCTCAGCTGAAGCTTACCGCTCCCACCTGCACCTACCTGCAGTCGAGGTTGTTCCCGTAGTTTCCTGGGTAGTTTGCACTGAGAAGCATGGATTCGGGCTTGTGGATGATCTCATCGCATTCAGCGTCTTCGTCTCCTGCCTGACCGCCTCGAACTCCAGATGTTGAGACTGGGTCGTCGCACTCGTTCTGCCGCACGGCGATATGAAAACCGCGGTCACTCTGCGAGTCATCCGTGTGGAAGCGCATCACCTTCTGCGGCTCCCGGAAGTCCATCACACCTGCGAGATTGTAACAGCCGAGCTGTTCTAAGTCGATTCTGTGCGCTTCGAATGTCTGTCGGGTGTCGCGCAGGTAGCATGACTCGGAGGAAGGGTTAAAAAATAAAATGAAATAAATTGTGATGACACTACACGATGATGATCCTAATGACAATGATGCTCGAAGTAAGAGGCGCGCAAGGGGGTCTGGGTAGCCCAGTCCGGACCATGGACCGGGCTTGGGTTTGTCGACCTATTTTCATCTTGGGTTCGCACCAAGCTCGGGCTAGTTATTTTTTTTTATGGGTTGCGCCGGGCCAAGTGCGAATGTTGCAACAAGCCCAAATTATACATGCAATGCCAGAATATTTATACAGCACGTTGCGAAGAACCCGCAAGATGAGCTCTGTGATTATCTATCCAGGAAATCTTCCCCCTGCCTTGCATCTGAGGTATTAAAATTTGGCAAGAAGAACCAGTCTAAATATGCCATGATTCCATGCCTGAAAATAAAAGTGTTGCCTATTCCGCTGGTCGCCTCCACTGGCAGCTGGTCTCCACTGAGAGTTTGACCATAAACCACTTGAACTGCTCCATATTGTTCCCAGTTGCCATTGGACCCCATGCGGTGCATATCGACGAGGAAGCTTGGCGTTGAAACTTCACTTCATTTATTAGAAACTCTGCAGATTGAGTGTGCGTGGGCTGTGAAGCATCTCAACCCAAATACAGATTATAACAAAAATGCAGTTATGTCGGTAGCAGTATGTCCGTTTAAGATGCTTCAGTACGGCAGTCTGAAATCTCCTGTGAAAGCCGATTCCATTGCGAGAGTGTGAAGGAAAAAAAGAAGTATTGGTAAATGTTTGTTCTGCGAAACAATTTCTCCTAGCTTTAGAGGGTGGTCAGTTCTATTGGATAAAAATGGGAAGGTGAAAAGTAAGATTTTTTATCTATTTTGATCAACCCATGAAATATTATGAATAGAATTTGTAATCTCAAGTTTTTGCGACCTGATACTAACAAATCCCACCCTAACCTATTCTTAAGTGCAGTGACACTGAGACTGAAGTCGTAGTTGCTAGTTACAAAACTAGCTGCGCGGTTTTGTGCGATCTCGAGCATATTAGGCAAAGTTTTGTTTGCGGGTTTCACTAACCTATCCTTAAGCGCAGTTACACTGAGACTGAAGTCGTAGTTTATAGTTACAAAACTAGCTGCACGGTTTTGTGCGATCTCGAGCATATTAGGCAAAGTTTTGTTTGCGGGTTTCACGCCACACAGGCGTACTCTAAGATAGGTCGGACATTCGAAAAGTAGACTAGTTCTCACATTTTTATTGGAGCCAACCGGTAGTTTCGTTTAACAGAGTTTAACATTGTGCAGGATCTTGCTGTGACACATTCAACGTGCTTAGTCCAGGTACGGTTTGATGAAAAGTAAGCACCTAGGTATATATACTCAGTTACTCGCGTTGGCTGGATGGTATCTAATGTATAATGAAACAGACAAGGGTCGCGTTTACGAGTAAAGGAGACGCACTGGCACTTCCCAGGGTTCAGAATCATACGCCACTTATCACACCAGCGCATAATACTGTCTAAACTGTATGGCAAGTACTGGTGATCACAGGTGGATCTAATACAATGCTAAACCACACAATTATCTATATATGAGCGTACTTTGCACGACACACTCTGAACAATATCGTTCATGTACACTAGGAACAGCAAAGGTCCCAAGGTCCCAACACACGTGGAACTCCCGAGGTATCAGCAACATATTCAGATTGGGAACCTTTAATTACGACACGTTGCATCCGGTCTTGTAGATAACACCTGATCCAATCAAGCAATGCTGGAGTAAAAGCGAGGGATGACAGTTTATGTAGCTGCAGAACATGAGGCACAGAATCAAACGCTTTCTGAAAGTCCAGGAATATGCAGTCCATCTGCACCCCAAGGTCAAAAGAGCAAATAAGATCATGACTGAATTCGATGAGCTGTGTTGAACAAGAAAGACCAGACCAAAATCTATACTGAGATATTGTTTTGCTACACATGCTCGTTAGGGAAATTGGTAGGTAGTTGGAGACAATATTTTTCGGGCCACCTTTATGTATCAGAACCACAATCACAACTTTCCATTCACTAGGTAAACAAGAAATACGCGTTGATTTCTCAATGAATATAAGAGAGTGGGAATTTACATAAGAGCAAGCACTTAGCACGTAAGAGGGCATACCGTTAGGGCCATTGACAGAAGAAGCCTTTATTTTGTCAAGCAACTTAATATACCACCATGTGTTACCACCAGCTCCGGCATAGGTTCAAAGATATTGTAGGGAATACATGGTACATCAATGTTACAAGGGTGCGTAAAAGAAGCCTCAAAATAGCCATTGAAAGCAGTAACTTTATCGGTGTCATCAATTAAAAGTACACTGTTATCGTTTATGCTCGTGATGCCAATTGATTCTCAGCTGATTGATTTTAAACACTTCCACATTTCTTTAGGGTTACCTTGTAACTTTGGGCCCAACGCTAGAAAATATTTTTTCTTGGTAATCTAGTTTTTTATTACATCTTTTCCAAGTAACTTAAGCCCCATGATTACACCAGGATTGCGTTGCTTTCTATAAGCATTCAGGACACGATGCCTCTTCTTCATCATTCGCTTGACTTCTGGAGTAATCCAACGATTATCAATACGTTGTTTGGCAGACAAATCTTTGCCTGGAATATGTTTGTCTACCATCTTCTTTAGTGTGAAGGAAAATGTATCCCACAGAATGTTGGAACCTGCGGGAGGAGCTAAATGATGGAATTCTTGCAGAAAAATGGCAAGCTCTTTCGATGACGAAGCATCATTTACTTTATGAAATGATATATCTTCCTTGGCTGATCACGCGCACAAGAAAAGGAGACTATCTGAACGTGGGCCACAATACAGTGGCCATCAAGGCCACTGTATTGAAAATTGCAGAATCTGCAGTTAAGGATGAGTTCAATCTATAACATATTTTTGTTCGACTATACATCACTGTTTTATTCTGTATTAGAGCGTTAGATTAAACATGCAACTACAGTGACACCTGCCAGCCATTCAGGTAAAATAAAATTAAGGTAAACCTAAAATAGCATGCGTTTAATGCAATGTATTTGCGCACTACTGCAACTCAATATTCCGCGATTATTTCATTCGAGTCAGTGAGGTTAAAACAATGGACAAAGAATCAGGACAAAATAACTTATTATTTTTGTAAATCATGACACAGTCATTTTCTTATCGTCCTATATGTACGACTATATGCTGGTGGTCTGGTACACTTCCATGTGTATAGACGAAAAAAATTGGATAAAGCCTATTTTTTGAGTTGCAACAATTCTATGTACCATGCACAATTGAATGCCACTGTTTTCATCTTTCACTTTGAAGAAGCGTACAACCAGAACATGTCACACCTCCAGATAGCACATAATTATGACCAGCAGCTTTCAGTTCAGTTGATGGTTGCCCCCGTTGGCGGCCAGTTGAGCTGTAACTGGGACCAGCTAATAACTGTAACCACTCGCAAATGGCACCAACTGTTCCCAGTTGATTCCCTGCTGAAACCAGTTGAGCTGTAACTGGGACCAGCCACTAACTGTAACCACTCGCAAATGGCACCAACTGTTCCCAGTTTTCTTCTAGATAAAACCAGTTGGCTTGCAACTGAGACCATTTGATCCCAGTTAATGCCAGTCAAAACCATTTGGATATCCAGTGGCACATTTTCACCCGGGCTCGAAATAAGACCAAGCTGCGTAAGTGTACCCTCACATACACTGGCGAGCTCACTAGCTGTCCTGGTTTCAGAGCATGGAACTAGCTAAATTTGATTGAGACGTGAAGCTCTTTAAGGTCAAGGCTTGTCCGTTGTGTTCTAGCCAGCCGCTAGTACTCGAGCGCCCCCTAGACAGCTCCGCCTCGCTCGCTCTACTCCCCTGTGCCACTCCTACGTGCGCTTTCTCTCTCTCTTTCTTGACAGCTGCCAAGTCTTTGCACTTGGATAATAAGAATGAAAACTAAGGAGCGGAGGGTTTGCAAGGTGGTTGCAGCGCGCAAGCGGCGATGGCACGGAAGCGCCAGCAAGCGGACCCTGAGGCGGTGCGGGCGAGGGATGCTGCAGCCAAGCTGCCCGAAGCGATCGCTACCTGAGGCTGGTAGCGCCGATGCGCGCTTTAAGCGGGACTTTCTAGATAGAAGTTTCGGCCACAGCTGCAAGAGTTGCGACAACTTGTGGATCGATAATGATACCCCATCTTCAGCATCATAAACGAGCAATGCCGCGCCAACGCCATCGCTTTTCTACAGCGGGAGTTTGTCACCCCCATTCAAGAATATCACGGTGAGCACACAGTGTGCTTTACTTGAAAGGACTCGTCGGAGTTGGGTGAAGTGCTCGCAATGAGCGTGACTTCACTCACTCGTCACTTGCCTCTGGAGCTTTGCCCATTCATTATCATTCACTTCGTGGGTGGGGCAGGATTTTTTATGCGTATATCGGCAGGGCGAAAAAACAAGAACGTCGGACAGAGTGCTTCTTCGAGGAAAAAGGAACATCATCAGCATAGCACTAAAAAAATCCCGCCATATCAGAAATGCCGAGAAACCCGGAACGCAATTCTAAGGTGTCCGAACGATTCGAAATATGAAGGCGTCCGAAGAGCTCTCTTTGCACACCTCCCATTTCTAGAGTGCAAGAAATGTCTCGTATCAACAAGTGAAGCGTTGCTGTCACAAACGGTTTGCACTTACGGACTGTTCCTGGCACGACGGTTCCGCAAACGCGTGTGCCATCGATCGCCAGGTAGTCACCGTGGCATGAGTCTGAAGGCCGAAGCTGGAAGTCCAGGAAAGTGACCTCCATCTGGCAGATGTTGCCGTGAGCACGCCGAACTGTGTACACGCAGTCTGTGCCGTCTTCGTAGTCACCAGGGTAGTTGGCACTTTCCAGCTCGAACTCCATCTGCGATGCACGTTGTGATGTGGGCAAATGAGACAGAATAGACAAATGCTGCACAGCTGACGAGAAGGTGAAAAAGCTTAGTTTTGGGATACTGTTTCGACATCTCCCCCGCATTCAAATAACACGCCCATCACTGTGCACACAGGGCACGGATACATGCAGTGTTGCCGTGCCGCGCAGAAAACATCATGACACGAACACCAGGCTAGACCCGGCTGATATGTACCACGTGCTTGGGACTTCTCGCAGAGAGGAAGAAGAAATCAGCTAAACGACTTCTTAGGTGTTCGTCCGAGGCGCAGTTCTATGACCACAGTCCCATTGAGTTGTGGGCACAGGTTCTCCGCTTAATAAATACGTTTATTCTAACACCCTGAGTGCTTTAGCATCACTACGGTATTATGACGTGATTGTGACGTTGCAGAAATAAGCCATCAAACTGGCAGAAATTGAGTGGCCCGGACACATGAAAACAAAGAAAGAAGCGTGCGTGGCAATATGACTAATATTTTATTGCGATATCAATTATATGGACACTCCCGGCTGGATTTTGCCGCCGGCGTCGGCGTCGACCTCGAAGTCATTTACTGTATATGTATATGTATCTATATATAAAAACGCCAGAAAGGAAAAATATTCCGGAAAAAGGCTCTAGCATGCGGAATCGAACATCCGACCTCTTGCTTATGAGAGCAAGGCGTTAGTCACCGAGTGAAAAAGTAACACCTTCAACGTTGAAACGGCAAGCTATTTATATCTACCATTTACCGCTCGCGATGGCAATCTCGGGAGAACTATCGTGTTTTCAGCATTACCAGCAAGATCGCGCAATGACCACGCGTCGCGTCGTCCGATGGCCACGACGCGGTGGCAGCGCGCTCTCATCTCCCACGCGTACTTTGGTCCGCGGAGGGCCGGGGGGGAGTGGACGACGCTTACGCGTGCGCGCGCTTATTTCGGGTGGGGCATATGGCACGCCTCGGGCTTTCACCGGAACGATTATGTTGCAATTATCGGACACACAAAGGCCACTGCACTCGCTGTACAGTCTCCGTTTGAGAAAAGAGCGCGCTTTTCAGACACAGTGAAATGACAACTGAGACACATAATCACGTTCTACTGTAGCTGCGAGTACGTTTCGTGTATCATTTGTGCATTAAAGCGCAGGGCACGTTTCAATCTGCTTGCTATTCTGCGCATGACTTTCCGATTCATTGCTATCAGGTTCATTACTTCGCCTTTGCGGCAAAGCTGTGACGTTTTTTTAGCATAGCACCGTTACGCTTAACCAATGTATGATATACTCGTGTGCCGTTGGAAGAACGTAGCAGCAATAAGATATTGAATTGAATCGTAACGCTTTGATCACAATGCTTCTGTGTCGGATCCATGTATTTGATATGGATGGCACAGATGGAACTTCTTTTGAGCACCTAATATCTGGTTTCAAACTGTGTCTGTAAATACCTGGTCCATACTTATTTAGAAAACAAACGTCTATACTTTGAAGCGTTATAAAAGCAAGCCTAGTGCTATTTAAATACCTGGTCTGACATTGGGCCAAATATGTCCGTATTTGAAAACAGGGGGCAACAAACTCAGCTTACCCTAATGCAGAATGGCAGCTTCTGGGCCATCAATACATCTACTGGTAGATTCACATATCGACATTTCTGTTACACAATTCACCCCAGACACACATCAACTAAAACAATGCAAATGCGAACACTTCGTCATGTACACAGATGCTGCAAGCTTGCGTGGGGGTTTCACTGTCTTGTAAACATCTCTGTCGATGATGATGGATACACACTCAAGGGTATGGTGCCTACGGTTTTCAGCCTTTTGCAGCCCGTTGCTTTAATTGATATGGATGGATTCGATTATAACGACTGTTTGGATTTTCTGTGCTAGATGACTTTTCAACTGTTCGATGTAGAAAATGAAAAGACTTTCAAGTGTGATACCAGCATACTTCAGGAAATGTATTCACCTATACAAGAAGGTGCGAAGAACACAGCCGAATGACGCACCAATGGTTTCCTAGGAACTATTCACTTCATTGAGATTCATGACTGATGCTCTTTATTTCTATATGAGGATTCATCACTGTCATATATATATAATTACACTCGAAGAGATTGTAATGAGGATAGTAGTAGCAACCACATGTTTCATTTCAGCTCTGTATTATATGAAGTCGCAAAAGCAAAACAATCATATCGATCTGTGAGAAGGAGTGCAATGGGCGTGCAGTATGATGCTTCATCTATTTTTCTTCTAGAGTTCATTTTATTCTTCAATTTTTATCGTGATGAAAATTGTGTATCTATTTAGGATATCAGCAAGGGAAAGTATTTTACTTGAATCTCAATGTTACTTTAGCAGCTGCAGTAAATTTCACGAGGTTGAATTATGAACACTTCCACAGAGCTTTTCCAAATGTTGAAAACCAAGGTAAAACAGTCGTAAGGAAATTCAGGCTCAGTATCAGTATGTCACCTAAAACACCAGCAAAGACCAGAAGCAGTGCAGTGCTGTAAATCTGGGTAAAATACGAAGGCCCGACAGCCCATGTAAAAGCTCTTGTGGCCACGGAGGAAGAGTCTGACCAACGGTCTAATAGTGGGCGCTCCAAGTGATTTATTATTTGATTTTGGTAGTACAAAAATGTGGTGGCCTATCAGCTAGAAGACTGGACTACTTTGCTGCAAAGCTCAGGATAGATCTTACCTCAGTGCACATATTTCTTGGTTTTTAACTGAAGGTGGTTTTCACCCGCACTGCAGGATACGGAAAACTCGAGGCGTATTGGCTGTACACGAACCACGTAACATTGTCAACGAAGGTGAATGTTTTCAAGAGTTATGGGGTATTTAGGAGCGTAACTCTAAATAATTACAACGTATGGTAAAGTGGGATAGGTGCAACAAAGGGTCGTGCTGTGGACAGCAAGATCTCACTACGCATGCGGAACTGGTAGTTTAGACCGTAAGATTCATTAGGTATTACGTATATTGCTCCAGGTTCGGCACAATACCATGCTACGAGCGCCATGTAAGAGAACACAGCAACCTAAGTGGTTGATCATAGGATCTACTTTTAATCTTAAAGATGTCCTGAGTAATCAATGATTGATCGTGGTGTCGAAGTTTGTTGTCTCCCAAATCCACTACCGGAAAAATTTCTCGAATAGACAAAGCACGAGCAGTATTCAGTGGTTTGTCGCGCGCTTCAACCTATTTGTTTCTTCTATTTCCCGACAAGCATGCTGGAAGCTACACGAGGAGCCATGGCATGGGGCAAAAAATTGACGTCAGCGCCTCTAATGACCTTCAACGCCCATGACGAAACGCGATCGCTCTCTCAAGTTGTTGTTTCTGTGGGCTCTGATGTTGTGGCCAGTATGTATTATTAGCAGGCTATAGAGCGCGGCGACGTCATGTGGCTGCAGTGTAATGCACGAAGCGTATCTGATCCAAATGCCGCTCCTGATTCATATCAGCTATTGGCCATTAGCATGCTAAGTTCAGCGTCATACAGCAGGCGCCGGCTGTTTCTGAAGAAAGGGAGCACAGGTCTGTGTGTTAAAAAGAAGGCGCCTGAGAAAACGCCTGCTTCGGGTACCATGCAATTGCCAACTCTCATTGACGCGCACCACTGCAAGATTTGGCTAAGATGTCTATTGCAGCCTGAGCTTCTCGAAGAGCATACATTTTCACCCAACACTAGGCGTTGTTTATGAGCCCTCCGAATATCACTATAAGCCAGTTGAGCTGTCCGCGCATCTGCACATTTACATGTCCGCGCATCCGCGCATCTCCACATGTTATAGGTAAGTAACAATCCGTGCAATGCTGTGCAGGAACCTACTGGCTATGAGGACTATTGTACACATTTGAACTATGTAAGCTGCCTGATATACAGATGCCGACTCAGCGTGCTGCCACGACGCTCGAAGCTCGAACAGAAGCATCTCTCGACTCAAGTGCTGAGGCAGCCACGAAATAAAATAAAATGAACCCAAGTACCTTATCCATGTAGACGTCACAGGATCGACGCGTGATGTATGGCTGGCCGGTCGTGCTGCTGACAGAACCTGGTTTGTACGGCGTCGAGATGCGCACGGGCGTTGAGGTCGTGACAGTAACGCCTTGTGACTTGCCGTCTTCAGCGCCGTAGTCCAGATGCGAGGAGCCTGGTGGCCCCGGCAGCTGCGATGGAGGTGAGGGCGCTGGCGATGTTCCCAACGCACACTTGATCTGGCGGGCCCGCACTGAGAAACCACGTCGAGTCGTGGCTACGTTCGAGTGAAAGTGAAGTACCATGTCACTGCCCAGGAAAGGGATCACGTCTGCCGAGACAAATGAGAAAAAGTTTGTAGTTGAAGCTATATCACTTTGTTTGTGTTGCATGTCCATCATTATAGCATTTCGCGAAAGACTAAATTTTTGAGGCCACGCATCTGCTCTTGTCTGTCTGCTACGGAACGCAAAACACTTCACGAGGAAGCCGCAACGCCTAAATACATGCACAAAATATGCATGTTGGGTTCTGTAGGGTTAAGCAGAATAAAAAAAAATATTTCTGATTCTGCATGTTTCTCACCGTTAGTCCTTCGGTAATGGTCCCAAACGATATATCCACGCCAACAGCACTATTCTGTCACGTGGAAATGCAAAAACGCGAAACACACTCCGTCAAAATCACCTCCATAGAATAAACCGCAAATTAATACATCGAGCAAAACAGCAATGTTCTTTTATAGCTGGACAGTGTTCAGGTCTAAACAGAGCTTAAGATGGCTACTCACCGGTCGTCTTGGTGCCGGAAGCACAGTGTTTTGGCACAAGGGATTCATTTGCGTATAATAAATACTTTAGTAGGAAGGAGTACAACGTTGTAAAGCCGCGCTTGGCGGATATACAGAAGACTTCCTCAGGGTACCTAATTTGCAAGTTATCGCGATCATTGCAAGCACCAGTATGACAAGCAAGAAGACGTCAACCAATAAGAGACAGGTGCAACCCTCACCCAACAATTACATTTAGGAGCTCACCCTAAATAAAACCCTCCGCTTTTTCTGTGATTTTATCAACTTCTGTAAGCCGGGGAGATAAATCCTTATTAGGGCATGACAACGCTGTAAGACTCAGACAAGACACATGGCACACGGTACGAGTGCTAACTTTCTGACCTGTCTCTTCCTTCCGTGTCTTCATGCTCTATGATCTCTTTATACACACACGCCAACTATCCCAAAAAGCCGTGCCTATGAGATAGGTACGGCTGGCTCAGTCGCATTGCACAGCAGGCAATTATACACAGAGTGGGGTGAAGAGGCAGTCCTGCAGCCAAGAAAAGTGTTTGATTAGGTTGTCCTGAAGATATCACAGCTTCGGTGAAGTGTGAAGCAATGAAAGCGATTGCTACAAATCGCAATTTTATGCGAAGTAAATCAGTAGCAGCTAACTCTTTTGGAACCGATCTCGCGTAACTCTGCAAAGCACTAGTCTAAAGAAATACGGCCCCTCCAGGAAAGGAACTGATGCTCTTCCAGTCTGTTTTCTTCTTATGAAGAGGTAAGGACAAAGAAAGCAGAAAGGTATACGAGCCATTTGGTGATGTTTGCCAGGATAAAGCATGCGGAAGTGCTCACATCCTCGCCCTTATGATCAAAGTTCACAGTTCCTGCTCATTGCATGCGCCTTCCGTACGACGAAGATGGCCGGCTCGTTTCTTTTCTTCTTCAACCACGTTCGTTTCCAGTGCTCCAGAGTTTGTACTCGTGCGCTGAACATACGATAATCACAGTTATGTCTTCAATTTGTACTTTGTACGGAAAAGGACGACAATGGCGTCAGCGAAAACCCGGCGAGAGTATCCACATAAATTCTGTTGCAATGGATGTTCTTGGCTTTTCGTGGCACTTAGTCGTAGGTGCCAGAGCTTTGGCGGCACACACAACGGGATAGTGTTACGCTATAGCGTCTTAACCGGACTTGCTGCTGGTTACCGTTGAGCGGAATGATGTAAAAAATTAACATAGATACCCGTACACGCTCTTAAACCACCATAATCTAACACTAAAGTCATTTTAAATATGATTTGATAATATATGTTAGAGAACTGGATCAGTGTCTTCTCTGCCATGTGCTGCGATGGCTTGCGTGATGAGCATTCGAATTGTTTGCTTTGAAATTTTAAAGCATGAGCGTGAAACTTAGAGCAATCAGGGATTGCTTTTGAACACATTGTACAAGGTAACAAGAGCACGTAATGCGCCGACGGGTTCATATGCTACTGAGCCCATCCAATCGAACGTAGCAATATAAACATTATCGAACATTCGGCTGTAAAAGAATTCGATAATAAATGTGGCTGTTGACTCAAGATGACGAAGCAAAGAGCCTCACGTTTTTTGAGTGCAAATGTCTAGGCTATACCCTATGGGGGAGGGGCAGAGGGGGTGCTGCCCTCCTCCACTCAGAAAAGTAAGGGGGGGGGCATAGCCCTGTTCAATCAGGCACCGCGCCAGGTCAAACCATGGAAGAAGAAGCGCCTCATTCTACAAGCAAGCCCGTGTTCACGAGGACTTGCAGCCAGGAATCGAGCAAAACGGGTGAAAATAAATATCGTTCGGAATGTTCAAGCCACGCTTCTTGCCAGTGAACCGTATGTATTTTTAAACCGTTTGGTGCTGAAGATCCAGGAAATACTACGAGGGGCCACGGAAGACTACGGAAGACGCGAAAAAATGACGCGAGTGAACTGAACGCCATGAAGAGGCTGAAACTAAAGCGAACGTCGAGACGATCTCTCAACACTAGGATTAATAACGAGGCAAAAGTTCTTCTCGACCATGCGACAGCCACCATTGATCAGCTCAACGCCATTTATGGACGTTTGAAGGCGAACAACGATGAGCTTAACCAAATCAACTGGGAGTTGAGAGAGCCACATACTAGATGAACAGTTTGAGAAATAGTACAACACCATCCTTGAATACAAGGACAATGCTAACAGTGTCATGGACGAGCTTCTTAGCAAGCGCAACCGTATTCTTGCGGCCATGTGATCAGCACCGGAGCTTCAGACTTCGTTAGTAGTCAGTACCTCTGGAGTCTCTGGTGTCAAGCTGCACAAGCTTACCAACACCGCATATGCTGATGACCAGTGCGAGTGAAATGACGTTTGGGATAAATTTGAACAGATGATTCACCAGAACGAAAGCCTCACGGCAACGGACAAGTTCAACTACCTGAGGTTCTTCCTAAGAGGTGACGCAACTTCAGCTATTGTAGGCCTGCCAATCACAGAGGCTTGCTACAAGGACGCCATCGACATACTCAAGAAACGCTTTGGTGACAAAACGAGACTCAAACAGGAGTACTTCTTCAGGCTTCGTACGTTGCCTTCAGTCCATTCAAGTGACCCGTCGGCTTTTCGCAAGCTAACCGACCAGGTCATCATCAACATCGGAGGACTGGAGTCCATTGGGGTGAGCAAGTCGTCCTTTTCGGCAATGCTATGTGGTATTTTGCGGCGTGCTTTACTACACGGTCGCGCTGTACAGTACGATCGGTAATGCGCCAATTGGACGACGAGCTACGACAGTAATGCAGTCTGTAACACGGAGCTGGAACACCTATTAAATTTCTTGTCTATTGAAGAGAAGAGTACAAGAAAAGTGAGTTCGCTAACCCTAATGGAAAAACAGTCATAAGGAGAATGCGCAGTACAAATTACGCCAGTCCCGTAGTTCAAAAACCTACGTCATCTGTTTTAAAAACAACACATAGAAAGTTCTTGATAACTGTGCGTTTTTCTAATGGAGCCAACATTCCACAGAAATGTGCTCACTGGATCTCCCGCTACCAGAAAAAAAGAGCATTTTATCAGCAGACATGAGTTGCTTTCAATGCACGACGAAATATCACAAATCGTGTGATCGCAGCCGCAAGATTATGTGCTTAAACTGTCGAGGGCGTCATGCAACAAGCGTGTGTGATCCGCCAAAGTTAAGCCAGAAGACACGAGAAGCCAGCAGGACAAGTACCAGAACACCGGGAAGTAAGCCAAGCACCAACACGACTCTATGTGCATCTTCGGAGAAGAATTGACATAGCCTGGAGAATTTATGAACGAGTTTACTTCTTCAGACGTTTCAGGCTTGGGACGTAACAGATGTTACATATCAGTATGTCAGAGGACTCCTGATGGGGGGAATTCAGCGCACATTCGTCACAGAAAGGCTATCGAGGCATCTGAAGTTGCCATGTGTAGGATCCGCCATCATTGCCTCAACACCTTCGCAAGAAAGTCAAGTCGAGCAGTGCAAAGGTGGCGTGTTGCGAAGCTGCGTTTGAAGAGTTAGTGTTCACACACTGAAATTACCTTGAAAGCCATAAATCCTCCGCACATACGCCAAGATATTGAAGCAGGTACAACAAGTTCACCATTCGTCGCGGAAATACAGAGAGCTGGAAAAAACATCGCTGATCGACTACTGTACGAATCCGTTGCCGGGGAAGAAGGCGTCAGTGTGCTCATTGACCAAATGTGGAGGGTGACGACAGGAGAGGTCCCTCGATGCGTAGGCAATGAGACACTTCTTGCTATGAACTCTAAGTGGTGGCGGATGTTTCAAGGAAACACTAGCATGGCAACGGATGTTACAAACTCACGAATTATGGTCTGCGTATTGAAAACCAGTGTACAAGAGAGCGACGAATTCCTTCGTTCGCTTTTGGAACTCGAGAGCGCAGGAATGTCAGACGCCGTTGACAGTGAGAGCAAGCTCAATCCAGTACTGAAGCAGTTTGAACAGACCATGGGCCTTAGAAGCGGAAGGTACGAGGTGACGCTGCCCTGGAAGGAAGACGTAGAGCTCTCGGACAACAAGCAAGTGGCTATCACAAGACTTTGGAAACTTCTCTTTCATTTGTCGAACAAGCAAGGACTCCTGAAGACGTATGACACCACCATACGGAAGTACTTACGAGCGGGGCACGCAGAAGTTGTCGACGGGCCACCCCTGGATTCGTAAAAGGCCAATTATATGCCACATAGAGAAGTTATCTGAGAACACGCCCTCGCCACGAAAGTCCGAATTGTTTTCGACGCTTACTCTCAAGCAAAAGGGTGCTTTTAATTGAATGAATGCCTAGAAAGGCGTGAAAACCTGTGCCAAGATCTCGTGAAAGTATTATCACGCTTCAGAATGCACCGCATAGCTCTTCTGGCCGACATCGAAAAGGTATTCCTTCAGATTTCAATCACAAAGAAACGCAGAGATGCCTTTAGGTTCCTCTGGTTTTGAGAAAGCGATGCATTTATCCGAGGAGGATATTC